ACCTGCCACGTATCGTCCGTTCTGCCAGTGGACGCAGCGAAATGATGAGAGCTGAAAAGTCCATTTTGCAAAAGCTGCAAGTTGACACCAACTCGAAACGATTATCCGGTTCCAGCCTACATTCTATACACACTCAAACGTGAAGGCGAAAGTATAAACATATTTAGACATTTACATAAATAAATGGATTTAAGTGATTTGGACAGTTCTTTTTCATACCAATCAGAGTACATAAACATGAGCGTGTGCATAAGTTGACAATACATTTTTTTCTTCTCTTCCTAAGACTAGTTTTTAAAATTAATTTTATATTCAACAATTACCGGTAGTCTCACATACTACTTAGACTGAAAATAAGTAATGCCGTCTATGCAATGGAAAACATTATCTTGCAGAGTTGGGGCCTGACTTGGCACGAGGGTCACGTTGGCCCAGTGACACGTTGGCAACCGTCGTGGCTATTACGTCGAGTGACATGCAGTTTTGGGAAACACGTCCAAGCTTCCTGAGATCGGTTCAACTCATTGAGGGACGACTTTATGACTCTTTGCATAATCTATGCTGACAACATTAATATGATTGACTGACTGAATGTTCGATTGATTGGCTGATTTATTGTCTTGCTAACAGACAAACAGACATACAGACATACAGACTGACTGACTGAGTGAGAGACAGATATGGAAATTAATGTCAAAAAACAGAGTGACTGACTGACTTAATTACTGATAAATGCTTATATTATTGATTGACTGGCTGAGTGACAATGAGACAGACGACTTAATGACTTGGTGATTGACTGACTGGATGATTGACTGACAGATGACAGATGACAGATGACAGATGACACATGGACGTAATGTGCCAATGTTTGTCCAAATGACTGACTAACAGACAGACCTAATGCATTTATAAATGAATGATTGACTGAATCAATGACAGACAGGCTGACTGACCGTCTTAGTGAGTGACTAACTCTTGACTGATTTTTCGTTGCTAAGCAGAGTTTTGGGATTACCTAATTGACTGATTGATTGATTTACTTATTTGTGATTGAATGAATAATCTACATACCAACCGGGCCTACCGGGTTTAGCCCAAATATCAGCTGACCAGAAGTCAGTGCTCTCTTCATTCAGCATTGCTGCATCGAGCCCGTTTGGGTTGTTGAGTCGTCGGGCGCCGGAGTCAAGTCTCAGCTGTTCCTGTTTGGTTGACTCTCTCTCTCTCTCTCTCTCTGAAATAACTTCGGAGTTCGTGGCTCTTGGGCGTCTGGCAAGTCGGGCCTGTCCTTGACCCGAGCTCCGCCGAGGCGGCCGAGAGTGGAGCAAAGCTGGTCTCGTTCGGTGTCATTCTGAAGGTCATTGTTCTGTATCAATCTGCGTTTCGGAGACCGTGTCTGCTGGAGGCCCGCGACAAAGTGAGGCCGGCGTCGGCAAGCGCAAAGTCTCCGTCAGGACACGGCTCATGTTTTGTGCGGAAAAGCAGCCGCACTCTTTGCTCGAGACAGAACCTTCCGCCGAGCCCAGTCTAGCTATGCATTGGGAGCCCGGCCAATGGTACATTAGGGTCACTAAGACGACCTCACTTAGTCCTCTGCGTCGTGCTACAGTTGACTGCGAAAGTGCATGCCTGCCTCAGGCCAGTTTACAGTCGAATCGGCGTGACTGCAGATGAAAGAAGAAATCAAAGAAAAATGCAAAATTAAGTCCAAACCAGTAAATCGGCTAATTTCAATTAGTTCAACCCATTTTAGCGTGTTAAAAAGGTATTGAACTATAATAGAATGATAATTCATATATTACTTTATCTATTAAATAATAATATTATAAAATATTGTTACTCCTAAGTTAACTTAAATTATATTAAATAAAACCAAATAATATTTTTGAAATTTATTAAGGTAATTTAGTTAACTAAAAAAATAAAGTCCCTACCAATAAATCGGTTAGTTTCAATTAGTTCAGCCTATTTTAGCGTGTTAGAAAAGGTATCGAACTATAATATAATGATAATTCATATATTACTTTATCCATTGGATAATAATATTATACAATCTTGTTGC